GTGATAGCGGAGAGCGGAGACGAAGAAGTTAGCGGCGGAGTAAGCGAAGTAATCGTGGGGAGTGGAGAGACAAAGGTGGCGAGCGAGTCGAGTGAAGCACGGCGGGCGAGCCGTGGCGACCAGGATACTGGGAAATGTGGAGGACATGGGGAGAGTTGTAAGTAAAGCGGTGTTCGAAGAAAGACAGAAGTCGTCCGAGTGAAATCGAACACTACCATACGTGAAGACAAGCCACTGGAGCACGATTCTGGGCATGCAAATGAATGGAAAATCAAAGACAGGCCACAGTGCGATCGTGGTCATCGGTAAACTCCTCTTTTGGAGACATAACGAGGAACATGTGTATTTTATTTGCACGTATTACACACAAAGTGCTTGACACACAAAGTGCTTGACACAAATTAACCATAATACCTTGCTGGTCTTGTCAAGGTGCATTAACCATCACACAAATTCCAGTCGTCCTCACAGCGGCTTTTGGCTGGCCCTCAAACAAAGACGGTCACCGCACCGCGCGCTTTCATCCGCGCTCCGATATTATGAAGCCACTGGAGCTATGCACTTTTAAATCTAGATTGAAAACGAATTTCTTTAGAACTGCTTGTGTTTAGTTTGTTGTTCTTCAATCCTGATTTGAAGCTTTCGTGACTGCAGGAATCCATACTCTTTGGTTCTTTCGGTAAAGTCACGTAGGTAGAAAAATATAAAAATAAAGAAAAGTTATTGTTCTTCCCCCGCACCTCCGATTAACGCAGTTGGCTACGTCCGGTGCGAAAGAAGTTCAACATACATAGATAACATACACAGGTCCAAAGACATAATTCAAGCCACTAAGGAAGTATATGGGCTTCGGCAGGACTATTTTCTGGAAGGGGTGATTGCTGATGGTCAAGATGAATGATGGGAATGGCAGCCAAGGGATGGAATGAATCAGATAGGACCTCTATTGCGGAGATGGAGCCATGAAATGAGCTCGTGCACAGGTGCTTAGGTAGATGATTGCATCGCAGGAACATGAAGGATGGAGGTGGCTTTGGGAGCCTTTCATCCAGGATTGGATTGATCGTTACTTTTTTGTACCCCCCCCCCTCCTATACTTTTCACTCCTATCATTTTTTACTGTTTTTTGTTGTAACTTTCTAACCATCCCCTGCTGGACATCTGTGAAAAAGAGCCTCATAGCTCATCGGATTTTTACTGGATAAATAAAGATTTAGATTTTTATCAAGGGAGCAAAACTATTTGCTCAGAATATTAAATTTAAAGGGTGAGTCATCTGCCTTTTTTGGGAAGTTCAAAATGTTTACTTAGCCTTCCGAGTACGTGGATGCATCTTCCTTGTAAACATGCTGAATAATGCCCCGTGCGTTGCCTCTCGGGGTCCCTATTTATTTTCGCGACATGCTACGAAATGTCCGGCCACTTTCCAACAACAACAATGGCTTTTCTACGAACGCGTGTCCACAGGCACTTTAACAGATTGAAGGCAATTGACATTGGCAACAGCCTTGAATAAAACAGACATCACAGCGTTTGGAAAAGGGGGCTGAGACATCCCGTTCCCCAGTACCTGACATTCAGAGTTGTATTCTGCTCTTGCAGAATTTATGAATGTACCAAGCAGGGTTCCCAAAGCCACGGCTTTGAGTCACAATTTTCAGAACCTTTTACTGACGCACGGTCCCCCAATTTGCGGTGTTTGCCATTGTATATGCGGCAGCAGATTAAGACGCTTCGATCTCCACGCTTCCATCTGTGGGTGCAATTTGGCTTTTTATCATTTGGAAATTTACTTATTCAGGTTCTGCGATGAGTGATCCGCTGGGTTGGAACATTGACTCCGAGTTGCGTGGCATTCGTTTGACTCGTTCATATCCCCCCGCCTCGAATTTGAGATTCCCTTTGCACTGTCACCTGTACAGACACCTCTGCCCCCGAGTGGGCTCTGCTCGCTTGACATTGATTTGATTGATCTCGGAGTTTCAGAGAGCGCGCCTCTAAGCCGGCGCTTTGGACTCGAGGATCGGAAAAAATTGCGCATGTTTCTTCAAAACTTCCCGAACATCGCCAGGCTCGCGAGAGGTGGTGGTTTCTGGAAACGAAGGTACGGAAAGAGATCGCGCGGGTTTTTGGAGCCTGCAGGCGCGGTCCCTCTGGGCCGTTGTCCCGTCGTAGTTGTGGGCTCTCTTTGCGCGTTCTGGTCTTCCCTCCCCACGTAGTTCTCGCCCCTCGTTAGCAAGGAATTAACCAAACTTTCGAGTGCAGGGGGTGAAGGGGTAAAAAGTAAAGATGCAGCTGTGAGTTCTTTTGCTCGTGCCACTGCTGGCCAAAAGAGCCTTCCCTTGAGAAGGTGGGTTTTTTTTATGTATTCTTCCATGCTGGGCAGTTTCTACACTGGACGCTCTACTCCACCACACGTGACCTACCAATCAAATCACTATGGGGCGCTCATTCCTTTTGCAAAACCAAACTTGATCCCATCCGACAATGGTCATTTCCCAGGGTATCTCCGTTCCGCTGTGCTTTGCGGTCGTAGCCCTGGAACAAAGGTGTAATTTAGTTCCCAACACTTGCTGATCGTGCCTTGTTCCGCTCGCAATGACCTCAAGCCCAACTTTGCAGCCTTTTGTTAATTTGGGTTAGATCGCGTAAATATATAAAAGTGTGGTTAAACCGGTCACCACCCGACACAGCCAACTAGTAAGGGTTGTCACGTAAACAGAACGTGGCCAATTCGTCACTAGTACAGCACACCGATGTGTTGGAGAGCCAAGCCGTACTAGTAACGAATTGGCACGTTCTGTTTACGTGACAAACCTTACTAATTGGCTGTGTCAGGTTGTGGCGGGTTTAACGACACTTTATATATTTCCGCGATCTGACCCCAAAAAATCCCCTGTATCATGGATGGTATTGGTCGCGAAAGCCTACAGCGTGTTAAACTCTTGTTAATTTTTTGCGAATTCTCAATGGTTGTCATGGAGACTGTCGGGGATCAGCACATCCGACACGACTAATGCTTTATCTCGGAGCACCTTCTGCCTCCTGCTCTTCAAGAGCACCGGATGGAACAAAAACAAATACAAATAAACCGTCTTCGACTTGAGAGCGGCTATCGGTAGAAAATAAAAGCTTCCATCAAACTTCACCTTTCCCCTCGACCGTCTCCGCTTGGCCGCCTTTCAACCCAGCTCACTCCCCATGACGTCTTGGATTAAAAAAGAAATCGCCAGAATCAACGGCACCTCCCTCATTGCTTGGAAATGTGTTCACAAACCGACAAATTTCAAACATCCAAGTGCATTCCTTCGCCCACCGGGATCTAGCTAGCAAGCGTCTGATGTGCCCCTCCGGTTAGCACGGTTGCCCAACGTACTGTGCGAAAGAAGTTCAAGTTCAGCCTTCTGGCAAGTGTGCTGTGAGCGTCCCCTGCCTCTTGTCCATATTTCTGCGTCCTTTCTCGCCGCGGCGTAATCACATCGCTGCTTCTAAATTTTTACTTTTATTTTTTTGCCGAGTTTCATATATCCCATTGTGTGCGTGCGTCTCTCATGCTGTTTGTGTCAAGAGCGGTTAGCGCGCTGCGTGATGAACCCGACAGCCCCGGGGTTCGATTCCCGTTCGCGGTCAACACCAGTGACGATTACCTGAACCGGTCCCGGGCCTCCTCTGGGTCGACTCAGCCTCAGATAAGGACCTGGTGCGGTGTGTAAATGTTACCACTGGGGAGAAAAAAGCGGCTGGGCGTGGTGCTGGCAACAAACCCCCTCGTGTGCCGTGCCAGCTTTCATAGGTGCTCGCGAATAACACTTGCCCCAGCAGTCCGTTAAGACTACACGGGGGATGTTTTGTTTTTTTATGTTTGTCCCGCTTAAAGAGATTTCCCATTCTGGTTTGTATATTTGGCTTTGTTGGTTTTTTTTTTACAAATCAGCCATCCATTGCAGAAGGGCACATTGTAAGCAAAACATTATTATTTTTTCATCTTCCACTTTTTATTCCAATTAATCGCACTGTTTCAAACTATATTTTAAAAAAATATTCAAAAATTATTTGATGCTACTGCCACCGCTTCGGCAGTAGTGCCCAAGCACAATTAACAAAACTCATTAATCAAAGACACCGCCTTAAATTACAAAAAAAAAATATTGGGCGACGTTTTGAGCAGTGGCCCTTTCATGTAGCACAAATATATGGAGGGCCGGATAAATATTTTGGGCATGTCACTGGTTCAACACGCGGATGCCTAAAATATAAATGTCACTTGTTTTTTTGTCCTTCCCCCGCACCTCTTGATTAGCGCGGTTGACTATCTACGGTGCGAAAGAAGTTCAACAGACATACATTAGCACTGCAAAATAACATCGCCGACAATAATGATGATGATGATGACGATGACAATGACGATGTCGATTATTTTGCTGCTGATGATTCTGCCACCGATGATGAAGCAGATGATACAAATGGTGATTCAAATATATCCGCTCGCGTTTGCTCCCGCTGTCGCTGCTTATGATGATGATGACATCCGAACATGAGAAGGGTGGCTAACAAGAGGACCCTTTGGTCAATCCTCCTCACTCTGTTGTGAGTAGCAGGTCGATACGAGAATCTCATTGCGGTGCTTCCCGAAGAGTCGTCGTGAATCGGCTTCCGCCACACGCGTGCTGTGTGGGCCTCCCAGTTGCAGACTACCGCCGCTCTCTGCGTACGAAACGCGGTCGCCTCCTCCGAAACTTCCCCACCCCCATGGCCTTCTTGTGGTCCCCTCTCCTCTGTGTTGAGCTGTACGTAGCAGCAGCAGGAGCAGCGGTAGTAGTAGCGGTGGCCTGCGTCAGCCCGGTCGATGGCCTCTATGGTTTTGTACACCTGGATGTGAGACCCGATGATGATCATCGTGATCGCGATGACGACGACTGCTATGGCAACGATGACGAAGGCCGGGCGTGCGTGTGCCCGCCGCTGCCCCCCCCCCCCCCCCCCTGCCTCCCTCTCCGCAGCTGCGTGGAGGAGTACCGCCTGGGTCTGGACGGGCGCTCGTGCATCCTGACGTCGGAGCCATGCCCCGACGCGCCCGACTGCCCGCCGGACGTGCGCCCCAACCCCAACGAGACGCTCTTCGCCGAGATGCTCCACGGCTTCGAGAACTCGTCCGGGAGCCTCGGAGGCGGCAGCCACGGCGGCGACGAGAATCGCACGGATCACCTCGGCAACGGCACCCGCTCGGGCGACATCACCAGGGGACTGATCTTCCGAATGACCTTCCGGTGAGCGGAAACTCGGGGGGGGGGGGGGGGTGGGGGGTTGGGGGGCTGGGTGCGCGAGTGGTGTGTCTTGTTGCGTGGATGATTGTGTTGGCATGTGACAAGAGAGTGTGAGTGTTTGTGTGAGAGTGTGTGTGGGGAGCGGTGGTGTGGCGGTTAGCGCGCTGCGCTACGAACCTGGCGACCCCGAGATTGATTCCCGCTCACGGCCGACACCGGTGACGGTTATCTGAACCGGTCCTAGGCCTCCCCTCGGTCGACTCAGCCTCAAATGAGTACCAGGTGCGGTGTTTAGTAAACATCGCCAATGGGGAGACAAAGGCGGCCGGGCGTGGTTGTGGCCACCCACCCCCTCGTGTGCCGTGCCGGCCTTCATAGGTGCTCGCTAACAGCACTTGCCCTACAGTCTAGTGTGTAAACATCGCCATGCGAGAGACAAAGGCAGTTGGGCATGGTGCTGGCTGCTCACCTACTTGTGTACCATGCTGGTCTACATAGGTGCTCGCTAACAGAACTTGCCCCAAGAGTCTGTTAAAGACTCTACGGGGTGGGGGGGGGGGTCTTTGTATCGGCGATGCAGTGGCTAGCACGCTGCCCTATGAACGTGGCGATCTGATTTCAAATCCCGGATATAGCTAGCATGACTGGTGAGTAATATCTGGACCAGGTTTTAAGCCTCCCCGAGATCAGCAGGACTCTTTAATGGTGCAGTGTGTAAACGTTAGCGCTGCACATGCAGCCGAATGTGGTGTTGTCCACAGCACACTCTCATATGTCATGAAGGCCCTAATAAGATTAAGATCTCACTCAAAGCACTTGACCCAAACAGTCAGTGAAATATGCCAATGTTGGGGGGGATGTTTTCCTATGCGTGAGCATGTGTGTGTGTGTAATGTTTATCTTCCAGTCATTTCAATTCAGTCAGGACATTGGGTCTGTCCCGTGACCTCCTACAGAGAGCCTCCGACGCTTCACGTGGCCCCAAGGTGCACCTAGCCTGGCACCAGTACCCTGGTGACGACATGGCCACTTAGTGGCGAGTGACGGTTTGTTGTTGTTGTTTTTTGTGTCGGAAGCCGCGTGGCAGCAGTTCATTAACGCCACTTGTCCCAACAGTCCACAAGGCTAAGCAGTGAATCTGTGTACGTCTGTGGTGTATATCAGTGTTGGCATGTGTAAGTCCAGCTGTTTGCGTGTAATAACAGGGAGGGATATTCACACGTGTGGAAGGACACCACTTATGAAAGAGCCGGACAATCGTCTTCATAGCCATCCTATAACTGAGACGCGTGTTCTGTCTGTCCATCAACTATTTACAAAGCACATATATATAAAAGTGTACATGCGGTGTAAGTATGAAGCGTGATATGATAGATAGGCTTTTGTATCTATCTTAGCGCAAAAAAGCGTGAACTGATGAATCCTTGGAATTGCATTGGGAGGACAGAAATAGGAACGTGGATTGGAGAACATTCCCCGGTCAATAATTCAAACTGTAAAGAAAAGTCAGCTGGCTTGGGCAGGACATGTTGGTGACCAAAGGTCAAAAATAATGGCAGCCAAGGAATGGACACGTGTGTTGGATGGACAGCGACGGGAAGATTAAAAGTGTGTTGTTCGGAAATATGGAACTAACCGGAAAGAGGGGAAAACCAAACGGAGTAATGGCTTGACGACGACATAAGAGATCGGTGCCAGAAAGATGCGGCACAAGACAAAGGAAAGTGGAAACAAATTACTCAGTGTGCAGTGGACACCTCTGGGCTATTTGCCCGTGGACCATGAGGATGATGATGATGAAGATGTGGAATGTATCCGAGAGGATGTCCACTGACAGAGATGCTGCGATGAAATCTGCTTGTGTGTGCGAGTCCTCGGAGGATAACTACATCACAGGTTTGTGGGCTGGCGATGGCTTGGAGAGGCCTTCATCCAGCAGTGGATTAATCAAAGCTGATGATGATGATGGGATTTTAAGGCCAGGATGATCCATGCAACGAGTTGAAAGGCGAACTCACCTATTAGGAAGCAATTTAATATATCTTTTTTTTAAAGACTTCAAAAACACATTTATTTCATTCTTTCGTAGGCACATTCAGCCCGTGAAATATAAATGTCCTATAATGCGTCATTAAAGGGGCGTTAAAATTCCGCTATTGCGAGTCTCCCCTCGATCGGAACGCCCTCGCGCGCCTGCTGCCGCCTCTGAGATTGCCGCCGCGCAATCCAAGGCAATTGTTGTCTCGGTTTGTTGTTGTTGTTGTTGTTGCACAGCCGTCGTCTCTCCGCGCACCCACAACGCAGAGGCGGGGGGGACTCCAATGAGATAGACACGGGCCTGCGGGACAGCCCGATAACGCGAATTTTTTTGTTTTAATTTGTCTTGCTAAGCTGGGGTGGGGTTGGTGCGCAGACTGCGTTAAGACGCCGACACGTGCTTCGCTCGCCGTTTTTATTTTTTTTGAGACGATGAAACTTGGAACAAAAATATCTCCCCCTCCGCCCCCCCCCTCCGAACCACCCGCCGGACTGGGTAATGACGGGCTGCCTCTCGTGATTATCCAACACGGGCGCTGGTGGCGGAGACCTCGGCGTATAAAATCGGCACCAAATTCACTAGACGCCCTCGTTACTTGGGGGGGGGGGGAGAGTGCAGAGAGAGAGAGAGCGATCGTAATTTTTAGCAGAGGCTTTTTGTCGCAGCGCGTGCAGATTTAACGTCGTGAAGATCTCAACCGCGAGCAAAAGCTGATTTGCGCGCGTATCCCATAATCCTCTCTGGCTGTCTTTCTCTGTACATTGTAATGTCTCCCGCTGATGTAAATGCTGCTTTTTATGCCTGATTCACGCCGTCTAATAACAATGATCTGGGAGAAAAAAAAAACCTTTCGGAGTGTGTGATTCAACTGACAGAAAATTAAATCCACTTTTCACTGGGCAAGATCACCTTGGGTCCCTTGGAGTCCGGTATATGGGGGGGGGGGGGGTGAGTGAGACTGAAATTCACCCCGAGATGTTTGGCTTTTTCCTCCAAGGCCTCGGACTGGATACAGAGATGTATATAAATCATTGCCTCGTACGTGCATTAGACGGGAGTTAATTTGCCCCTTGCACTGGGACGTACAATCTTAAAACTACCTTTACTGTATTCAAATAAGTGCATACTTGCCGTGGTTGTTATTGGCTGGAATATCACGGTATGGCAATTCTGGAACTGCATGGTACATTTCCACCACTCGTGCGTTTATCCGACCATTGATTGTTGTATTTATTACGGCGTTTTTGCATAGAACTAGCATCCATTTTAATTTAATGGGTCATTTTGATTTAAAGCTTTCGTGACTGCAGGGATTCATATTTTTGGTTCTTTCGGTAGAGCCACGTAGAAGGGAAACAATAAAATATATATAACAATAAAATTCTCACGACGTGACTTTACCGAAAGAACCAAGAATATGAATGGGTCCTTGCCTATAAACATCTTGCATTTCACCAAAAAACTGCTTTCAGAAAGCCTTACTCTGCTGATGACACAATGTGTGTGTCAAACTCACTCCAGAGTTTTCTCGTGTTGAGCCAATGCCGTTGAACAAATGTGTGGCCGATGGGATATGTTAAGAGGAATTTAATTTCCTTTCTTGTTCAGAGACAGACATTGAACGCAGGTTATGTCTGCTGAGTTAGTTTGTTATCTGCAACTATCCATAACAACCATCAATGGGTTTTTCTTTCATGCATTTGTATAAGGAGTTCGTTTTATGCGCTACGAAAACGTTGCCATTTAGAATCTTATTCATTCTAAAACCACAGTCTTATTGACGGTTATGTTGAGTTGTTTTGTTACAATGAATACGTAATGCGCCGGTGCCATAGTGCATGAGCCCTGGATAGTGCTGGGATGGGCGACCACCATGCATAGAACAAGTTATTGCGTGCCGCTGTCAGCAGGCGGCAGTGCGGCAAAAACGTTGCACCCCGAACAAATCCTTCTAAACGTCTTTGCCGATAGCCTTTACCAACCCGCACACTGAGCGAGTCTGGTCAATTAATGGCCATGACCGGCGTGGCACGGGCGAAGGCCTCAATCCAGCAGTGGAATGACGGAGGGCGCTGCACGCGGACATACGATCTCGGCCCGTACGGTGACACAAGGCGGTGAAATTGCTCGCACGGCCGAGGGAAATGTCGCAGCTCGATTAGTACGAGACGTGCGTTGGGAATTGTAAGATTGCTCTTTTTTGCGCGTACCCTCTGTGCGAGTATGGCTTTAATAAATCAATCAGCCTTAGCTTTGGCGGGCATTATAATAGCGATATTTTATTTCCGATGGGAAATGGCTTTGGAAGATGGAAAGTCTTGAAATTTTGCAGCCGATGGGGGTAATTTTGCATGAGAATCAAACGTTGTGCTCGAAATTCAACTCGGAAGGGGCTGATTTCACGTCGGTGTCAATGCTGTTCTTTGTTTGAGCGGTAGCAATCGCACCAAACAAGCCACGAACCATGTAGTTTCACAACTCACAGTAAAAAATAAAAGGGGGAAAGTAATGATTGGGGCGCAATATAGCGATCGGTTTCGCATTTTCTTGCCGTTCAAGGGAACGTCAGGCAGCTTTACCATCCAGTTTGGCCGATCGCGTTACAGTGCGCTGCGGTAGCGGGATGTGATCTTCCTCGCCCGGTACGCAGGAGATTGTGGGTTGCGATCCCGACCCAGACGCCTGTACATCTGGAGTCTGCGTGTAGTCCCCGCGGTTTGCGTGGATTTTTCTCCGGGTCCTCCGGTTTTTCCCTCCACATTTAGAAGCGTGCGTTGAGAGTATTATGGCTGCGATACGTTTCCATGTGATGAGCCACTCGGTTTAGAAACTAAATTAATACATTTCTTATTTATTATCAGATGTATGTTTTAATAGCAAGAAAATCGATGGAAATGAATGCGTTTGGATTTAGCCAGGCTTACTTTTACATGTGCTGGACGTTATAAGTGTTATCCCCCATTCG